ATATATATATATATATATATATATATATATATATATGAAGAGTTATAAAGCATGTAGCGCCATGTACGCTCTCACACACACACACACGTGATGTGTGTATAGCATGACATTAGAAAATAAAAACTCATAACAAAAGCTTTTGTCTATGTATGTATGTATACACATGCATGCTTATCTAGTCTACACGTGCTCACACTTGCAGTTACAAGCACATAGCCACACACAATAGACACCCACACACACTTATCATGTGGATGATATGTGTGTGTATGGAATTTGGCAAAACTTACCGACAAGAGGTCGACACCTTCAGGGTTCAAAGAGTGAACAGCAGCAGCCAAGTTATTTGGCCTCCACTTTGGATATTCATGCCAGTCACGTAAGGAAGTCACTCCTGGCCATTGCTCCTCTGTGGGAGTCCCTAACATCCTTAACAAAATAATTTCCCATATTAAGAAACATCCAAATAAATACATGAACCAATACATCATACACATGCACGAATATGGTTTGTATTAAAACGCAAAGAATTTCCTCAGAACCATACTTGAAAATATGAAGCAGTTGTTGCAACTCTGAGTCACCAGGAAAAAGGGCTTGCCTTCTCACCATTTCAGCTGCAAAAGGTAAAACAACAGTGACAAAAAGTACATCGCGCCACATCCTACCATAATAGCCTACATAGGAACATCTATTCACATGCAGTTGCACACATACATACACATGTATGTGCATATGTAAACTTTATATATGGGTAGGGTTTTGGTGCATCCCCAGATGCACGCCTTTCTAGATCATCCACTTTCCAAAATCCATCTAGGAGATGGATATTGGATCCAAAACTTCACAAGTCTATCATCTTGATCACCACAACCATGAATCTAAACAAATTGAATTTTGAACATTAAGAATTTTCAATCTTATGTTCTTTTTGGACTGTTCAATGCCTCAAAGTTTATCAGATCTCCACTATTGGAACTCCAATTTCATGAATCTTAAACTGGGAGTTCTAGTGATTTTGGGGTCCTGACCATTTTGTGCTCTCTTTGACTGTCCATTTAATTATTCAAAGATCATCAGATCCACACTATTGGAACTCCAATTTCATGGATCTGAGATAGGGGTTTTTTTAGTTATTTTGGGATCGTACAGCCCAACACTAAGGCAAATGAATGAGTAAGAGTACTTACCTAGAACTTTTAGTTTATATTTGTGCATATATATTAACATGCACAACATATACAAGTATGAATACATGCATACAAACACATAAGTGTGCGAATACATGCAGAAAAGCTTAAAATAGCAAAATAAAAAAGATATACCAAATATGCAGCCAACAGACCACATGTCTACCCCCGTCTGCGAATATACATATAAAAGTATGAATACATGCATACAAACACATAAGTGTGTGAATACATGCATTTTGTGAAAGTTTAAAATAGCAAAATAAAAAAGATATACCAAATATGCAGCCAACAGACCACATGTCTACCCCAGTGGAATAGTGGGTGATTCCAAGCAACACTTCAGGAGCTCTGTACCAAAGTGTGACAATCTGCAAAATAATTCTACGAACTAAGTTGATTCTCCTTTCTGGTGCTATAGAATTGTAATTTACAGAGTACAGCCAATAAATGATGTTTACAAGAACAATCTGTTCCTCTAACTAGCCAAAGCAATCTTTTCTTGAATAGCAGGATCTTCAAAACAATTTATCAATGAAAAATCCTCAATACAAATAAGAAAAAGAAAAATAAACTTTAGCTGAAAAAAAATTACCACATTTGGATACTTGGATTACCACATTTGGATACTTGGAGTAATTTATCGTGGTACTCAATAAATTTGGACACTTCTATATCTTTGTTTTGTACATAGAGCTTTTTTTTAGTAAGGGCATTTTTTATTAAAAAATTTTCTTCTTAGGAAACTAAGAGCCAGAAAGTTGAAAGAAGAAACAACAGCCCAAATCGTTCCATATTCCTAAAATGGAATATTCCAAAGACAAATTTTTGACATGAAACAATCTAGACCAAGTGATTCCTGTAGCAATCATGAGAAAATTGGCAGGAAACTAGGAAATCTTTGCTGCTAAAATCCACATTGGGAGAGTTCTGTCCGAACAAAACGATGAAATAGCTTACAAACCTCATGCGTATAGCTCTTTAGAGGCACAGTAAATGCTCTTCCCAAGCCAAGATCGGCAATTTTCAGTATACCTCTCTCTTTGTCAACCAGAAGGTTTTGTGGTTTCAAGTCTCTGTCTCAAACAATTAGAAAAGAGATGTGATAGCCAAGAAAACAAGAAGATGAAAACATCCATACAAAACAAATAAAACAAAAACTAAGGGGAAACAAAAGACCAAACAATATGGATGGGCAAAAACTAAAGAACGTAAAATCATGATGGATAAAATCTGACCTGTGAAGCACGCCATGACTGTGACAGTGGGCAACTCCTTTGCATAATTGGAACATGTAGCTCTGTTCAATAGATTTTAAATCAAAATAGATCCAAACCCAAACAGTAAAAGAAGTGGAACAAGCAGCAGATGCTATAGAGAATACTGACAATGGTGGAAGTCTATAGTTTACCCCATAGCAACCCACATCATCATCATCATCATCATAGTAACCCACATATTGAAGAAAATATTTAAGAAGCAATGTACAGAAAACATAAGAAAAAATGATACTTAAAAAAGGATAAAGGAACAAATTTCTGCTGAACATCCAATATATTTTCAGTCCCCAAACGAACATTGAAAAAACAACAATAGAAATATCACTCACTGATCTCAATTACAATAAGGTTGCAAATAATGAGTACTAGACTGAAGAAAAATACCAGGAAACCATGAAATGATACCTGAATTGTGCTAGGCTCAAGAGGCCTTGGCTTGGGCCCACGCCGATATGTGTCAATGAACTTCTTCAGATCTGTGTCTAAATACTCAAACACCAGGTAAAGAAGTGGCTTGCCATTCTTTTCAATGTGCTCGACACACAACAATCTGCATTTTACAAAGCATCATAATAAATACATGAAAAATAGCATGGACCCATGTGTCCGTGTTACATAGTTCCTCTTGTATGCATTATTGCAATGCTTCGTTAAACAAACATTCCATTTACTTGACTCGGGGACTGGATCTTCCAAAACTTTTGAGATTCACATGACAATTTGGGGGTCAATAAACCAGAGTAGATCAGTTTTGGTATCATAAAACTGATCTCCTAAACCCCTTTCGACGCTCAAACTACAAGGAAAAACTGCAAATTGGTTGCCTCATGTTTGTTATCCATCATCATCATCAGAGCCTTTTTCTAACTAATTGGAGTCGACCTCATGTTTGTTAACCATAACACAATTCATTCTTTGAATATGGCCAAAACCATAGTTTCAATAGATAATGAGTTTTAATCTAATCTGGATTTTGGTTCCAGATTCCATTAGAAAAACTCTGAAGAGGTAAAGAACAGATAGGTCCTTTTGTCTTTTTCCTGTTTTACTTTTGCTTGAATACAATGATAAAGAAAAGCCAAACCATAGGGACCAAGTATCAAAAAAAGAAACAAGAACCTCAATTAGATAAAGGAGACAGTAACTTATGGAGACCAAAGGAAAGAAAAAAGGATAAAACACATTTCAAAAAAGTCACTATAAAAGTAAAATAACAAATCACCAAACTTCTCAGACGAGCCCAAAGAGAACAAGTAAATAAAAAAAAGGAAATCCCAATTCTCTTGAAGTAAAATTAAAATATTACAACACATGAATAACATAACTATGGAGCTCTATACTAGTGTTGTATCTTCGCTTTGCTTTGGCCTAAGCAAAGTGAAGCACTGTACAAACTATTGAGTCCAATTCAGTGTGCTTCGGTTGCTTTGGTGAGATTTAGCAAATCCGGCTGAAGTAGTCAAGGGCAATTTTTGTAATCTTTCCATTGACATTAGCCAATAACACTGTAGATATTTTTCAGAGTTTCAAAAAATTATAGCCATTTTGAAGAAATGGGATATACTTAAATACTTTTACAATTACTCTTAAATTTCATAGTTTCACCTCATCTCCCTTCCTCTTCCTCTTCCCTCCCTCCCTCTTCCCTTGTCCTACCTAGTGCACAAAACTAATCCAAAGAGGTAAAGACTACTTCGTTCCTACTTCACCTCAAGGAGATAGGTGATGCCCATCCATCTCTCCATAGCAAATAATCTCTCTCTCTCTCTCCCTCTCTCTCAAAGAAGTAATGCGCTAATATTGGTTTTTTTGTTATTTTTTCTAGTAAGCTCTGTACATTTTTCTGAAGGACACGGTTTCAATGAGTGCCGGCACTCACATGCGCATGTGATTCCCCTCTCTCAAGTCCATCTTAAAGAAATTCAGGATCTAGGCCATAATGATCTTGAATATGGAAAAAAAAAATCAAATTTTTTGCTCTGTTTGTTTGATAGGTCCCCCGACTCTGAAACAACTATTTCCTTTTTCTGAAATAATTAGTTAAAATAGTTAATTATGTGAAAGAAATATAGGAAATAATGCAGTGCAAATAGTGAAAAAAAAATTTGGTTATTTATTGTGCAGTTTCTATTTGTATGTGCTTTTGTGGGGGTTCAAATTATTAATAAATTCTTATTTTTCAAATATCTAGAAACCCTTATGGTTTGTCAATGTTGATAGTTCAATCATATTAGTAAAAATTTAATTTTCAGGTCATGCCTCTGTCAGCAAAAAATAATATATTTTTTATTTGTTTTTGGAAATTTTCATTTTAAATTTTTTTTAATAAATCAATATATATTTATAATATTTAATTTAAAAATTTTAAAAACAAAAATCCAAAGTCTTACCCGAAATTGGTTTGGAAACTTTCTCTAACCTCAGTAAAATCTTGATCTCCAACAAGAAGAAATTAAGATCCACAGAGTGAAATATATCTTCATATAATCTGTTTTCCCCAATCAAATGATGTACATGGAAAATAGAAATAGTTGAAATTCCAAGACTAAACCCTCAAAACGATATCCCATACAAAAAAGGGACAAAGATATTAACACTAACGCAAAATAAAGAAATCCAGGAAAATTCCCCAAGCTAAAGGGAGAAAAAAATCATGAAATTTAAGAAAGATATCAAAGAGAAAACACTGATTACAGCAAAATCTCCAAAGAATTAAAGCCCCCAACCCATCTCTCAAGATCTAACATTTCTTTTCCTTAATCAGAAAATGGAGAGGAAAAAAATAGAGGAGCACAGTTATAAAAAACACAGAAAACAGATCGATCAAGGACTCAAACCAACAAAATGTTTCAGTAAACTAGTAATGATTGTTAATGAATTTCAACAAAATTTAGCCAAATGGGGTGAAAGATTATGAACTTTTCAAAGAACCAAGAAAGAAAACTCATAGCAAAAAGGAGAAATGGGGTGAACTGACCTTACAACATAGATGCTCTGAGAGAGCATTTGCAAGAGAGAGACTTCTCTGAGTGCAGTGGGTGGAACCCCTTCCTCGTCCATCTCGAGTCTTGTTTTCTTTAGGGCAACGAGTTGGCCTGTTACCTTGTCTTGTGCCTTGTACACCTTCCCATATGTCCCTTCTCCCACTTTCTCCAACTTCTCGTACTTCTCCATTGTTAGATATCTCTCTCTCTCTCTCTAGAATAACAGTTTCAGAGGATGGAAATACCAGTTTCAGAGGATGGAATAGTAATTCTAAGTTGTATATATTGCTCTCTTTCTCTTTCTCTTTCTCTTTCTCTCTACAATAATGGCAGATGCAGTGTCACACTACTTTATAGAAATGGTGTTCAAATTTTGAAAGCGTTTCTATTCTTATCATTTGTCGCCTCAACGGCTCTATGCAACTTTGGACCGAGTGGCACGTTCTGCGTTGTAATTCATGTCCACGTTTCTTTATCTGTTTCTAATTTGTTTCAAAATCCGAGATCCGGATTTCCGTTCTAGATGGCAATTGGTCAGTAGTCAGGACTGAACTGGTTCTGTGATCTTAAAATTATTTTTAATCTGTTTTTCTTTTTAGTTAAGCATATGTAATGTATTTTTTAGTCCCATTAAATCCCCACCCCATAAGCTATCATTTTTATTTTTGTTTTATTTATAAATCGTCGATCAGCTATCTGACATGGATCTATGGGTGAACGATCCACCCCTTAAACCACGACTATAATGCGGCATAGGCAATGGCTAATGCAAATACATGAACCCCATTTATTGCATAGTCTTGGTCGGATGACTCGGGTAGAAAGAGAAGAGATGGTTTGTAGAGTAGAGAATGACCGACAATATTTTTTTTTATTTAGTTTGTACAAGACTTAGGCGTTATGAAAACAAAGTAAAGCCTCAACTCGAATCCTCGTCTAAAAAGTACTTTGTATCAAAAACCTTCATGATAATATATATTAGTTTTTGGGTATAAAATCCCAATTTTTTAAACTACCATAGCCGTTAAGGCTTTATTTTTATAGAAAATTGTTTCATGCGGGCTGGGCTGTATTTCTACATATGCGGTCTAGAAAGTGTAAAGCATCCATCTTAAAGATGGATGCAAGTAGGTGTTCTATCTAAAAACAATGAAAACTAATATTTTTTACTATAATTATTATTTTTAATTTTTATAAAATTTATTTATTTTTTCATATTCATGATCTCCATGTTAGATATTACATTTCCTAAAAAATTAAGTCTTAATTTAATCGCCTTGTCCCATTTTTCCTCACTTCTTATTTCAACCAGTGTATTGAAGATCAAAACATGTATCGATCCAAGAGTGGCTCAATAAATTTCCTCTTTAGAAAACTGTTGTTTTTGGGAGAATATTGGCTGGGTGCCTGGGCTTTCAAGGACTCAAGAAAACTAGGGTTAGATTCAGATCAAATTTTGCGATCGGACACAAGTCAAACTTGGTCAAATCCATGTCAAGTAATTGAGTTTTTAGACACATTTTTAATGAACTAAAAATCGGTACTGGTCTAGAATGTTTAGCAGCCGATGTTACATCTCCTTGTCCCATTTTTTCTCACTTCTTAGTTCAACCAGCGTTTTGAAGATCATAACAAGTACCGATCCGAGTTGGTTCAGTTGATGTTACATATCCTTGTCCATTTTTGTCAGTTCTTAGTTCAACCAGTGTTTTGAATATCACAACAAAGTATGGATCCAAGTTGGCTCAGTAAGTTTCCTCTTTAGGAAAATGTGCTTTTTTGGAGAATATTGGCTGGGTGCCTGGGTTTTTAAGCACTCAAGGAAACTAGGGTTAGATTCAAATCACATTTTGAGATCGAACTCAAGTCGTGAATCCGTGTCAAATCATCAGGTTTCTGGACAAAGATTTTTAATGAACTAAGAATCAATCTTGGGCCAGAATGGTTAGCAGTTGATGTTACATCTCGAGGTCAATTCCTAACATGAACTACACAAAGGAAGAGTGAACTAAATCATTTGCTAACAAATGGTTCATCCAAACTGGGCCTAATCTGATACTGAAAGAAACTACTCCAGTTTGAAGGCCAACAAACATGTCTAATGCAAAAATTTATTTCAAAACTATGTATAATAAAAAGCATTAAAGCCCATAATTTACATATCATTAAAGGGCAAAAATTATCTTTAAATCAACAAGAATTCAAATACACAGCAAATCAAAAGCATGGGAAATCACAAAAAAAAAGAAACTAATATTTTTTTTTTCATGAAGCAGCCAACTTAACGTTGGCCTGGAGATCAAGAGCCGAAGCTGCCGATTCCACATGTTCAATCAAGAACCCGTAGATCTTCCTCTTCAGCCGTTCGGTCATCTTATCGAACGGCTCCCCTTCCATCGTCTCCTTCCCCACCTTGTCCAACCAATCATTAACACGCTTCAGCTGCGAAAGTATGACTGCGACCTGGCTGCCATCTCGGCAGCAGCCTATTTTGGTGCCAGAATCCTTATTTCTGGTGACCGGAAAACCGCGACCTAGAGCCTCCTCCACATAACTCAAGAACCACAAACAAGCCTCCCTAACCACAAGCTTTGCTAAGTCACCTGTCTCTTTCACCCCATTGCCTTGCATCCAAGACTTACCGGAATCCGGCATATGATACATGGGAAAATGCTTTTCCTGCTCCTCTTTTCCTCTGTTCGGGCTGCTGGAAAAGTATCTTCCATTGAGGGATTGGATGCCTGAAAATGGCAAGTTGTCAATTGTGGATTTTTCGACAAGAGATATAATTTCCATGTCAGTTGCTAATGCGGCCTCAACCCATAGTGATGATAATGCAAGCCTTGAGTCTTGGGTATGTTGTGACTTATCGGGGTTCCGGGCCATGAAAAGGGTGCTGGCCATGTCTGCAGATTTTGCAATGGTCGGATAAATGGCAAAGAAGCGGTCAATGGTGAGAAGTGGGTTATTAGACTTAGACGAAGAGCACAGATCAGAAAACATGCTGCAACAAAGCAAAAATAGTTTCATTAGCATCTCTCTATCTCTCTCTGTATGTGTGTGGATGCTGTGGTCTTAGCCATACCTCAAACTCCTTACAACAGATTCAGTAACAAAGGCCTCGTCCAGGGCTTCGGCTGCAGCAGCAGATGCTATAAGTCGCCTTTGGCGAGCTTCCTGTAAAATGATTTAAAGTAAAGGGATCAATACAAATAACATAAAATAAAAAATAAATCCTATAAGGTTAAGGACTACAAGTGTAGTAGAAGCTAAAATCCATGGAATATATAAGATAAAAGTAAAACATACAAAGGAGCGGTATCTACCCTCTTTTCCCAAACATCTAATCAGTGAAATGAGTATATATATATATATATATATATATATATATATA